AAGATGGATAATGTGAGGGAAATGCTTGGTACTCTGAAAAAATCATAATCTATCATTGGAAATATGAATACACACCTATACACACGCTGATCTCCTAGAGTTGTTGAGGTGCCTCAAGTAACTACGCGTGTTTGGAGGCTGAGGTGAATAATGGAGCCAGTTGCCCCCCTTGGGAACACAAACCTTGCTTGCGCTATACTTACGATCGAGGCTCCAGCCAGAGGAGACTATAGGAGGTGGTCGAAGTGGGGTTAGAGTAGATAAAGAAGTTGAATACAAATCCAATCCAGAGAACAGAAGCAGTAGATAGAAAGCCTAATGTAAATAGCTGCGTTGAAGGCGGAAGTTAAGTTAGTACGATATAAAAAGTGAGGAGACCAGATTCCTTAGAAACAGAAAATCAATGCATAAACAGAGAAAGCGACAGGGTATAACGAAGTGGCGTGGGAGAATAAACACGCACGCTCATAATATCGGGGTAACTCAAGGTTGACCTGATTCCTGAGATGAGGGAAAAATTTTGGTAAAGGGAAAAATTTTCAAGGTTTCATAGAAAACTGCGAGCATTATCTATGAGATTCCGCCTAAGGAAGATGTGGACTCTTGCAGACTTTCTAGGAATGGCGTTTCCGGTCGCATTGATTCTTGCTTGTACTAATGCTTGCCGATACTAGGGCGGACCTGTTACGGACTTTTACTTCTTTGGGAATATCAGTCATGTGATTAGAATAGATCACGTGGTGCAATGATATACATGAGTCACTGTGCGCGAACATTCATTCATTCACTTTAGATTCAACAAGTCATACAGTCGTAATGATTCGACGCTCTCAGAGAATTCAAGGAAGGAACAAAGAAAAAGGTGGCACTCAGATACAAAAGATGACTGTTAGTGAAGCCCCAGAGTCTACCAATAGTCGCAAACGTGCTAGGGAAGATGAGAAGGAGGAGAAGGAGGAGGAGAATGCTAAAGAGTATGACGAAGACACAGACGTCGTGGTTCAGAAAAGGAGAAAGAAGACGCCGAAGCAGGCAGCTCCATCCAAGCTGACTGTCGCTTCACCCAGTAAAGATGATCAATATTCTGAATCTAGTACTAGGAGGCAGCGAATGCCAGAGCATTTCAGGAAAGTTCGAGGAAGATTCGGACTACTGGAAAGGCTGGCGAAAGACGTTCCATTGGATGTGATTCTTGAGGTAATCATCAACCCACCCTTTCTCGCCACAATACTTAATTTTCCCTCGATACCTGCTCAGATTTTCTGTTATCTTGACCCATGGGATCTTCTGCGCCTTGCACGTACATCCAGAGATCTTCGTAATCTCTTGATGAGTAAATCTTCAGAGAGTACCTGGCGTATTGCTCGTGACAATATTGAGGGTCTTCCCCCTCGTCCGGAAGATTTAAATGAGCCCCAGTATGCTCACCTTCTCTTCGAGCCCTACTGTCATGTGAGTGTTTGACCTCCCAATGTGAATGAATGCAAGTCTCAAGATGTATTCTCTACAGATATGTAGACATTCAGGACGTTGTGAGACCGTACTCTGGAAGTTTCGCATTAGGGCATGCAAGAAATGCACCCTAGCTACGTAAGTTGCGTATGTTTCCTTGCAAATCTATCTAACCTTCCACAATTGTTTTCTGTAGATTTCCTTCAACCCGAAATCCCCAGTACATAGATAATCTGCCTTTAGCTTTCCGCAGAACGATTATTCTTCCCGAAGAAAGGATAGAGCAGAGTTGTCAGTTTAAATCCTTCGCAAAGCAAGATCTTATCGTTGACACAACAATCATTTTAGCACGCACAATTGACTTCCTTGCTAATCGTGAGATTACAGACCGATACAAAGCTGAATATGAAGCCCTTCAAACCGAGTACGATCGCAATGCGTGGATTGTCCGCAAGAAGGAAGCAAATGCAATATTAATGAAGGTGACATTGATTGTATCGCATTGCATTCATATCACTCAAGTAATTCAACAGCACAGTCATTTATGTGAACAGTGGCACAGGGCAAGGTTAGATGATCGTGCCGATGAACTGAACGATATCCGCAGTCGAAGAAAGGAAGCGTGAGTAGCTTTATCTGAGAATTGGGTCTTGTCATGAATCCACATCGTTTTTCGCCAGGATCCTTGATCGACTGGAAGAGATTGGTTGGCGCGATGAAGCAGAGATGATCATGACAGGGTGCAATGACACATTCAGCGACCACAAACTTGTCAAGCAGAGCAAGAAACTCACTGACTATGGTACGGCAAAGGGGACTGCGACACCTTTTACTGATTTCTATTTCTGAACGCACATTTCATTCCAGGCTGGAGAACCATCAAAGATGAATTAGTGAAGTTGCTTTCGGCTGAAAAACGACGCCGTATTCTATCCTCTCGCTATGACTACATCAAGGAGGATTACCTTGGATTTCGGTCGCAAGCGGATTTTCGAGAGCCTTTCCCCCGCTTGGGTGATATCCTCATGGCCAAAGTTATCCAAGCTGTGATAACGGACACTTCCAAAAACCCTACCGAGTATCTTTTCCGCTCGAAGGTTATGGAGCGTTTACCTGGCGTCATTGACAAATGGAAGGCTGCAAAAACACGAGAAATTGTCCGCATTATGCAAAAAGCTCGTCCCACGGCCACCGTCGATGATTTGCATCTTGCGACGTCGGTTTTTGAATGCAGGAGCTGTGGCATCTACGATCCCATGTACTATCCTCAAATGTTCTCCCACATGTGCTGCGTAAAGAGTTATTCTCTTCCGAAACTCATGAAGGACGAACACTTGCCTCACCATATCGAATACTCGTGGACGTCTACTGTAATCGCCTTCAGTGAAGCTCGGTCGGAAATCGCGAAGACAATTATCCAAGCATGTTCGCTTGATCCTACTACAGCAACTTCTGTAGATATGTATGCTGCTGATCCTCTCGTTGAGTGTCTGACTTGCAAGCGGGGTTCGCCTGAAAGCAGTCGATTTTTCATGCGATGGCCTACATCGGTAGGTGATCTACTCCTGATCAAGGACGTATCTAACATTCCATTGCTCCAGATTATTCATAATGTAGAGCATCCTCTTAGCATCAACTCTTTCAGTGAAGAAGAAAGAGAGAAGATCGTTGCCTGCAGGAGCGAGATTCGGCTGCCTCTACTTTGCGCCCACTGCCACAACCATCAGTTGACTGATGATCTCTCGACTGTGTTGGCCCATTTGAAAGAAGTGTACGTTGCCATGTGCTTGCTCAATTTTCATTCACAATACTGAAATCCTGTTATTGCAGACACAGCGAAGCCATCGATGCTACCGAACTCGAAAATTGTATGAAACTCGCAGATATCCGAAAGCATTGGTACTTCTCCCCTTTCTCGGCGTTGAAGTATGTCAGCGTGCCTTTCCGATACGAGGAAATTCTTCCACCTATGCCTTCAGATGTAGCCCTTATCAAGAGTGATTAAGGTCATGTCAAATTCCTGTTTCTTCAAGTGGATCTTGTAGTATGATTTAAAATGCGTCGTTCCGTATCTTGCTTTTATGTTCATGTCAAAAATTAAAAAGCACTTCTGCAGTAGCTTACCTAACGTAGACCAATCGAAGTGTTGTTCCCACTGCAGTCAGTTGTCAGACCCCGTTCCCGGCTCACCGCTTGCGTCGCTCTTTACTTTGACTTCGAGTGCTACTAAACCTGACTGTATCTCGATTTCGCGTGCCCTCGTTCACTAAAACAACATGAACTCTGAACTTGAATATCTCAAGTCTCTCGTTGCGCAACTGAACGACAAAATCAAAGCTTTAGAGCAAAAGGTTTCTTCCTCTAGGCCTTCACCTGCTGAGCAACTTCGGACGATTCTAATGGGGCCCCCTGGGGCTGGTGTGCCTTTTCTGTACAACTTTTCAACGTCAATAGCTAATCGCTGAATTTTTAGGGAAAGGAACACAGGCTCCGCTCATCCGCGACAAGTTCTGCGTTTGTCATCTTGCCACTGGAGACATGCTACGCGAGCAAGTCGCTCAGAAGACCAAGCTCGGTTTGGAGGCCAAAAAGATTATGGATGAAGGAGGTCTGGTGAGTATTGTTGTACTACTATGGTTCATTGGATCGTTTATAACAAAATGTCAGGTTCCAGATGAAGTTATGGTTGGGATGATCAAGGGTGAACTGGAAAATAACAAGGCATGCAAAAACGGGTGCGCGACTCATTATATCTAGTCTGCGCCTCTCTGAATTCGTGTATGGATGCAGCTTCGTGCTCGACGGCTTCCCTCGTACCGTTCCTCAAGCTAAAAAATTGGACGGCATGCTTGAATCCCGGGGAGAGAAACTCAATTCAGTCGTCCAGCTCTTGATTGACGACAGTCTGCTCATCTCGCGAATTACTGGAAGATTAATTCACCCAGGAAGTGGACGGACGTACCACCGCGAATTCAAGTTAGTGACACCCACTGGCTATCTTGTGTTTCTGTCTATAAATTTACCCGGTTCCCCCTTGACAGCCCCCCCAAGAAGCCAATGGTGGATGATGTTACCGGAGAGCCTCTGATACAACGTTCAGATGACAATGTCGAGACGCTACAAAAGAGATTGAAGACATATCACTCACAGGTGAGCTATTTTCCTTCCCCGTGCGCCCTTTCTTTCGCGAACTTGTTACACATTACCCCACGCGCTGACGCTTTCTACGAACAGACCGGCCCCGTAGCAGAGTATTACAAAACAAAAGGCCTCTGGCATGGTCTTGATGCGGCCCAGAGCCCAAGCGTTGTATGGGACAATCTACGGGGAGTGTTTCGCGGAAATTAATCTTGATAGTACAGTGCTGGCTCAAATTTGTGGAGACGGAGCTGCCTTTCGCTTTAGACTTACATTAAGTACCACAATACCACCGTCAATAGAGGCTGTCCCTAATTAAACAACCCTATTGCCACAATGTACTGTATAAATTGTATCAGTTGTGTTCAGTTAATCTTGCGTTCGAAAAACATCAATCAAAGAGTGGAAAAAGGTCTAACCAGGACTCGAACCTGGGTTATGGGAAACATTGTCTTAGACTCAAAATCCCATGTGCTAACCTCTACACTATTAGACCATATATTTGGCACCTGAAATAGTTAAGTATCATACACATTCTGACTGTATTAGTAGTAGGATTCTACTAAGCTATGGTACATTAGGTCGTTGAATGCTCACATAGGTCGGTGGAAGCTCATCCACCGCCTGTTCCTCCAGCTTCCTCAATCGTTCTAATACCTCAATCATCCTACCTCGCAACGCCGTTACTCCCTCGTTACTACTTGTATCACCATTCATTGGATCGTTCAAGGACGCCTGCTGCAAGGAAAGTAGCTCTTCCCGTGCACCTTGAGCTTCCTTTCGCAGTTCCGTCCGAGTGGAGTGTTCAAGATGGTCATTTTTCATTGTCTGTGGAGAAGTAATCATTCCACAATGCTTGGACATCGGCATTCAAATGACACAAAGGTAGGGCGTGAAGACGTACCTCTGATCGTGAAGCTTCAGTGCTGCTTTGAGCGCTAACAGGAACAGTCGCTCCCCGGAACAGACGAGGAATATCTTGTATCGGCATCGGCGCAGTGAGAGTAAACGGGAGAGGTCTTGTGTAAGATGAGCTGTGATAGATTATCAATGCATCGATTATTCTATTCAAAATAGACGTATTTTGTTTGATTATACTTACCTATTGAGTGACTCATCGACCTTCTCAAGATCTGACACTGAGCGCGAACGTCGTTGCCGTCGAAGCAGCCAGAATATCAAAAATACAAGTAGACATGCAACCAGAAGTCCGGCAATTGTACCTCCAATAATTGCACCTGATGATGATTTACGGGAACTTGAAGCGGTGGAAGTAGAGATGATACCTGTTGGCGAGGCGATAGAATTTGAGGTTGGTGATGTTGCTACTGTGGTTGAAAGGATTGTGGTTTGAGTTGATGTAGTTGTAATAGCTGCCCCCACTCCGAGGACGATGGGAGTAGGGGTACCAGTGTTTGTAATTGTTGCGTCGAAGCATTCACCTGTATCCGAGCTTATGAAATTACATTGGATTGTATCAGCCGAGCCAAAGCTTTCGATCCATCCAGAGGCGGAAGCGACGATCGTTCGTTCGACTGTTATGTGGTCAGTCAATCTATAATACTGCTATGATTCTGAACGCATGGACACTCACCCGATATTACAGAGGTGGTAAGCACAGGAGAATCATTATCGGTCACCACCGTTGTGATGGGATCCAAAATTTCATATAGATATGTGGTCGAAAGCCCGTTGTTTGGGGTCCCAATAGGGCGTAAAGGAGCAGTAAACCCTCCGCCTGCCAAACGATGTGCACCAAACTGCCAGAGTGTAACGCTGGTGCTTTGAGAAAAACCTCTCCCTAAAAATCAGAAATGCAGCCCAAACCTCGGTATTTAGTCGCAGTACGCGTTATAGGGATTTAGATGTCCTTTGAGACTGTCATCGAACTTACCAGCAAAAAACGCTAGTAATGTGCTGATAGGAATCAAGCAGAACATAACGAAAGGAAGAAAAATTCGACAGTAAACATTGCAGACTGAGCTTGAAATAGAGCAAAAGAAGATGCGAAATAAGTTGAAGCTATGTATGGTTACCCGCTGAAGCTCGGGCCCAATGTGAGAAACAAGAATTAAGAAAGGCAAAACGGGTAGAGGGGGAAACAGAAGTGAACTGTAACTGTACTTGCTTGTTCCGCCCATGTTAGTGGAGATTCAGAGTTCCATTGAATGCACGACAATCAGTGGGAATCGCGCGAATATCACATTTTCGCCATTGGTTACTAGGGCAGCCAGGGACAGACAGACGTATGGAGATTGTCGAGGTCAAAAAAAGTACATGTATACATCACTCTCGGGAGTCTTGATTGTAGGAAACGTAAACGAGACCAATTTCAGATTGATGGTTCCAGGAGAATGTCGTTGATCACTGTGCAAATTGGTAACGAGCGCCCACCGCAATACAATTCTATGCGGGATGATGTAGTAGTGAGGAGAATATGTAGCAGAATCTTAGCGAACAAGTTCATAATAATTTAATAGCATGTTACGTACTTAAGAACTACGTATCTATTCCTTTTTACTCTTCTTCTCTTCCTTGGCTTCGCCAGCGACATAGATGGTACAAAATATAAGGAACCCAATGCTCGTGCTAATCGCACCCGCGTAATAAGGCCACGCTGCACTCAAGAACCTTGGGTATCCGTCATGTCTGGGTGGGACTACGGGAACACTCAGGGTATGATGCAAATGAGTAAATCCTTTTCGTTTGTAAGAGATGACAAATTTGAAGACGCCGTGTCGGTCGGGGGCGCGGAATGTTGTTGAGTAGGTTCCTGTTAAGAGGGGTGGGCTCGATGAGAGTATCGAGGAGAAATGAGAAAAAAACAGACCTGTTTTTCCTTTGACGGGAAGAAGGGCGGTTCGAACGTGAGGATCAAGCATTGTAAACTCGAGCTGCAGATCCTTCAGCCCCGAGTAGGGTTCCCACTTTCTGGTCGAAGGGTTGAACGAGGAAATGCGAGTGGTATAGACCTTTTTAGATAGGGTTCAATCATTGCCTGGTGAAGACGAGTTGAAGTAGAGAACGTACAATTTCATCATTGGTAGTATACATCTCTACAAGCCCGGTCTGATTAACTTTGTGATGAGTAACCTCGTCAATCCTCAGCACTCCCTTTTCCTGGAACGCCCAGCCTGCAATTTCCAAAGCAGCCTGCTTGTTTCCTGATGGGTTTTCCACAACCTTCATTCCTCGTTCCTGTTGAATCTTTTCGACAACCTGCTTCTTGGCAAACTCGTCCGAGAAGAGCGACGATCCCCCTACCCAGACTGCACGAGCTTGATCATTTTCTCCTAGGCCTGCGTCAGCCCCGTGTCCCGTACCTCCGCCAACAAGAGTCTGGAATCCAGCGACGACAGAAAGGGAAGAACCGGCCCAGAGACCTTCGCCACCTTTCTCAGATGCATCCGCAAGCGCGTCTGAGACTAGACCGCTGGCGTCGGTCAAATCAGCTGCGAAACTTTCGAGTGGGGCATGAAGAATAGGGAAGAGAAGAGGGTTAGAGTTCAGCGCGAAGGCTGTTCCAGAGAACCAAACTTTGCCAGTTACTTGAGAAGGGAAGACCGACAATATATCGTTGGGAATAGATTGTCTCGATACGTCAATGGGAATCATGCTTGGAGAGTCGGCGCGTTCGGGGAAAAAGCTGACTAGTGGTGTTGCTGGGGGTGGTAGAAGTAGAGAGAATTCCGGAGCGAGGGAGGTTAACATATTTTGTTTCAGACCGAGAGTCAGAACGAGGTTTGTGCCGAGTGAGAGAAGCTGGACGAGGGATTGGGGACTGATGTCTTGAGCAAAATCTGTGGACAAGTCGTCAGTATTGTGAGAAGGCATATAAGACAGAGGTGATCCTGACTTTTGGTATCAGACGCTAGTAATACTACATGCGAAAAGTTTGGTAGCCCGTCTTCAATCAGTAAGGGGTTATCCGCCTTTGGTGCACGAATCGTCACCGCATAGCCTTTCTCTACAGGCAGGTTATGAGGATTGATATGTGAGCCATATAGTACTTACTTTCTAGTCCATGAAGGAATATACTGTACTCTGCCTGTTTCGTGGGCTCAACGATGACCAACACCGAGTCGCCAGTGCTTGAAGCAGACTTGCCTGCCTTGCTGGACTGAGCCAATGTAGCGAGCGAAGCCAGAAGGAGTGTAAAGAACGACCAAGAAAGCGGCGATATGAACGAAGAACGCGTCCTCATCTTGGTCCAGCGATGAAAGTATTAGATACGTGTAATTCGCGCAGCCGAAACTCACAAACGTGGCGGTATTTGTTACTGTTAGGATTTGGTGATAATTAATTGCCTCTATGTACAACGAAGAAATCCATAAAAAATTGAAGCATCTATGACAATATCTGGGAAATACTTAAGAATACATAGAAATATGTAATTAAGAGATGATACTGTTGGCCAGATATATACATGCAAGTTTTAGTTATGTAGCGTTGTCACCGCTGTGTACGACGCTCAATAGCAGGGATAAAGATCGCGTTCAAGCGTATTGATTAATCCGACTTGGTCTTCCCTTCCTTCACCGCCCTCTCGTGCATCTTGACTTCCAGCAACGGGTCTAGCGACGCATCAGGGTGCCTATACGAATTTGATGCGCGGTCAGCCCAAGTGAAGTACTGTCCATAGTTGACTGTATAATAGATGTGGTGTAATGTATGGTGAGCAGGTCCGTTGATGATTTTCTCCAGTGGGTGTCCAGTTATCATGTCCGAGTCATGGATCTGTAACGAGTACATGATCAAGTCGTGAAATTCTACGAACGAAGAGATACTTACAAAGATGGCCCAAAAGTTTACCGCAACAAATAGACCAAGAAACAGAAGTCGATGCATAGGGAAGAGAACAACAAATAGATGGTACGGCACAGACTGGAGGTACCCATCGACAGGATGAAATGCGTGGGATGCGAATGGGGTAGGAACTAAGGAATGAACAGTTCGTTGAATAATTAAAGACCAGTCGAAACATGGAACTCACTAATCCATTTGTGATGCGGCTTGTGCAGAGGCTTGTACAGCAGCGGATGATGCAACAGACGATGTACCCAATAGATGCAGTAATCCGTGAATACCAAAAACCATACCGCACTAAACACCATGTACACCCAGCTTCCCCATCCTCCGAGGTTTCCTAACAACCCGATATGCATATCATCTACATTCGTGTATAGCTGAGACCATCCACGAACTTCCCCCAGAAACCACGGCACTGTCAGCAGTGTCATAACAGGGAATGCCTTCAAGCTGGTTTGAATTTCCAGTTTGACTTGATTAGGCAGGAATCGAGGATGGAACATCATCTCGTGGTTGAAGATAAGATAATACGAGAGGGAAGCGAAGAGGAAGTAGAGGACATGAATTCCAATTAATGTCAGGATACACAAAGAAAGGATTTGTCGCGGCATATACGACCGTGGCCAAGCAGAGAGAGTTTTCTCTACTGCTGTTGTCGTGACATTGAAACCTGCACCTTCGAAAGGA